TTTTTTGTTTTTTTTTTTTTTTTTGTCTATTTCGCTGACGCAGTAGTATGATATAGATATATGTATATGAATATTTGTCTGATGTTGGTATTATTATGTTATATATATATTTATATATGAACGTATATGACGTCAGCTATATGCACTTACTCAATGTGTTTGTCCTTGCATAATTGCAATTCCTGTAGCTCCGGTTTGCTGGCATTTATTTGACGTTCAAGCAACTGTTCCTCCTCTTTGCGCATCTTAATTTCCTGATTGAGACGTTCCATTCTTGCATGCATCACCTTAAGGTGTTCGTTCATCCTTTGCAAATTTTCACGCATATGCTGTTCCACCTCTTGCCGCGAACATTGCGCGCCGACTGCTCCGCCGGCGCCTGTTCCAATGCCCGTCGCATTTACAGGTGGTTTATTCATAAACGATTCTATCGATGCGATTTGACTGCGAAACATATTTTCCGCATTGCCAAAAACGCTCTGATGCAGCTTCTTCTCGGCTAACTCTTCGCGTATGGCATTAAATGATTTCTTCTTTTGATCGAGCGCCTGCTCCTGTTGCAACAGCAATTGAGAGCAGCGTACAAATGCATCGCATAATAAGCGTAAATCGCCTTGAGGCTGTGCATCCTCGTAGAAGGGACAAACGATTGGATTACTGAGCGTTATATCCAACGTTTTGTTGTACATTTTCAGTGAATTGGTCATATAATGATTGATCATTTCAACCACAGAGCTGAATTGAAATTTCTCAACAAAACCATAATTGTCGTTGATTTGGCAAATTTTAATAAGTTTCTCGTTGCCATCCTTCATCAAAGTCAGCGTATATTCGCCTTTCTGCAATTCCATTAATTATATTTATATAAATATTTTATTAAAAAAATACAATTTGTTGTAATAAGCTACCTTTGCTTGCGCATCGCGCACTAGAAAACTTCCATCCGGTTGGCCAAATAATTTGTTTTTTGCCTGCTCGCGCGATATGCTGCCCCAATACCAGGGAGCCGAGCGCAGCTCATCCTTTTTTGAATCTCTTGCCACAGACGCCGGCGCCTGTGGCCTCATCGTTGAATAATGCAGCGGCGAGGGATGCACTAAAAAATAATAAAATAAAAGCGAAAACACATTCAAAATTGGGGTAGGGCGAAATCATATTTTAGTTTGCTTAAAACCAACACACACGCACACATGCATATATTTACACTTTTACACACACACGGACAAGTATTACATGCTTGCGTATGGATGTGTGTGTGCGTGTAGCGGCTTTTGCTTGTTGCCAAGCGCCCCCGAAACGCATTTGAAAAGCGAATACGTTAGGCATCAGCCCTTTATATGTTGTTTTTCGTCTATACTCACTTTTGAATTTGCGTTGTTGCCCACAATTAATTGGAGATTTCTTGTTGCCCAAAAGAGTGTATTTTATTATTTTGTGTATTTATATATATTACTTATTTCACGCTTACAATATAGCGAGCACCATCTTTATATTCTCAATTTCGCAAATCAACTGAGAAACTCGCAGGCGAACACACTACTACACACGCTCACAATCGAATTCACACATGCACACAATATATACATATAAACTATAGTTAAAACAATTAACAGCGTGCAGGAATCGGTAGTTAAAAAACGACTTCACTTTTCTTCTTAATCGTTGTAATTAATTCGTTTTAATTTGTATTGTTGTATTACTTGTATTTTCTTATTATTTATTATATTGAAATCACAATCAGCAAGCACACCATTTCTTTTTTTGTGGATGAAATCGTCCTCAACACTGCTTGGCACTAGCATGTTTCGGCCATACCGTTTTTCAACACCTTTTTGTGAAACGCACTAAATAATACCGCGAGCAATGCGGATTGCTGACCGCATTTCCTATTTAGTATATTTTGTGGGTATATTTTTTTAAATTTGTAACGGTCGCATTGTACGACCACTGACTGTTGTCTGATTTCAACCCTATTTAAATAATTTCTTTACCTCTAATATGAAAACATTATATCCGTATAAATAGAATATTGTATAAAATATAGTTGTCCAGTTTATACAAATGAAAAGTAATAGTTTTCAGTTTGAAAAAATTATTATTTAATTTTGGAACGTTCCGTTTGCTTGTCGTCTGTATATATGTATGTATTATAAATGGAGGTGCTGCACGTGGAAATGCATAAACTTTTAGGTAGTTAGGAAGCTTCAGGGCATGCGAGATATTCTAACATACAATTTCCATTCCTTGACTTGTATTTTATTTTACATTCAGAAACTTATTTATTTATATGCCTAAGCTACAGCATTTTTATGTAGTATGAAAAAAGAACCAGAGCAGCATCTGCGTAAATCAACTAAACAGATGTACATATGCGTTAAATGTATTTATATATTATAAAACAAAAGTGAATTTTCTCTTGCATTTAAGTGCTTTTTTCAAACAGTTTTTTCTTTTGTCTGCTTTAGTTTAGTTTATAGTCATGTCAGCGTTAGCGGTGATATTTAAGGTAATTTCTTACATTATATTTTAAGGTTCAACATGTTTTTTTGTGGCAGGACATTAGTTTTACTTGTAATGCATATTGTTTAGATTAATGTATATCCTGAACGCTTTTCTGTGTTGCTTTCTTTTTCTCTCATTTCTGTAATCTAATGGATTTGTATAATGCCTGATTCCAGTAGTTTCATTATCTTGTCAGCTATAGCCGGATTTTGTAAATGTCTGCAAGAGGAGAGGGTTTAATAACATTTCATTTTATCAAGTTGAAAACTTACTCTTTAACAGCATTTGGATCGTTCTGCATCTGTTCGAGTATCATGCGCATGGCCGGATCCTTGAGAATTTGTTGTATTTCCGGATCAGACATGGCATTCTTGAGCACCTCTTGTGGATTACGTTGGAAATTCATTGAACATTGACGATAGCCATCGATTGCCTCAGCATTGTTCGGATCTAATTCCAATGCTTTTTGATACGCGGCTGAAGCCTTAGAGGTCTGTTGCATGCCCTGTTACAAGAAACATCCAGTAGTATAATTATAGATAATGCCTAAGCTATGTATTTAAAGTACACTTACTTGCAGAATCTTTCCCTTTCGAATATAACCCTTGATGAATTTCTCATCGAGCTTAATGCAAGTATCACAATCCTTCAAACCCAAATCAAATGCAGCCAATTTTGTATAACATGCTGCTCGATTGCTATACAATTTGGGATCATCCGGATTACGTTTGATGGCCTCCGAATAATGTTTAACAGCAGTGCTGTAGTCACCTTTCTTGAAGTACTCGTTGCCTTTTTCCTTCTCTTCTTCGGCCTTGACTGGATCAATGTATGCACGTCGCTCTTCTTCCTTAATTTTGGCTTCAACTTCGCTGAGCGATGTCTTTATCTCCGGAGTACGATGCTCAGACATAGCCTTCTCATAATAGAATTTGGCTTGCTTATAGTTCTCCATTTTGCGATAGGTGTTGCCGATACGAGCCAAGGATTTCGCAATTAGCTTAAAGTCAGCACGATTTTCACGTCCCACCTCGATGCCCTTCTCGCACTGCTTGATGCACTCTTCATACTGCTTTCGCTCAAAGTACACAGCCGCAATATTGTTATGGAACGTGATGTCAGTCGGATCGTGCTCGATGGCGGCATGATAGTGTTTGAGGGCAGTTTCAAAATCTTTCTTCTTATAAGCAGCATTGCCTAGCTCCTTTTCCTTCTTGGCAAAGTACTTTTTACGCTCTTCCTCGGTCATGTCCTCCACACGCGGCTCAGCCGGCTTTGGGGGCTCCGCCGGCTTGGACGGTTGCGATTTCCTCTCAAAAGGCGAGCTGCCCGACTGAGGATCAACGTCCATGGGAATATCACCGCGAGACTGCATCATATTAAGCACAGCTGCCGTAATCTCCTGGCAACCTTGCAAAAGAATCGCATTTTGCGGATCATACTTCAGACCTTTGAGGAACATAAAGAAACAAGTGAGGTTATGTTGGGGAGAGGTCAAAGTAAATCAGCATATGTAACACAACTTACCCTCGTTGTAGGCTTCTAGAGCCTTCATATAGTCTCGGAGACCGGCGGCCGCAACACCCTTGCGTGAATAACCCTTGGGCCAAGTGGGATTCAAAGAGATCGTCTTCTCAGCATCCTCGAGAGCTTCTTTAAATTTTCCGGCCTTTGCGAAGGCCGCAGAACGATTACTGTAAAGCACATGATTGTTGGCGTCCAGCGCAATGGCTTCTGTATAGGCAGCAATAGCCTCATCAAATTTCTCAGCATTTAGCGCTGTGTTGCCCTTTTCCTTCAGTTCGTTCACCTGCAGTTGACCGCAGAGCAAACGTTCATATATGATAATCGTTTTGCTTGTTTCTTAAATATTGTAATACGCACCTTATCCATTTTTTCTTCAATTATCTTCTTTTTTCCAATTAAGAGCTTTTTAACAGTTTAAAATATTTAATGTTGTTAAAAACACGCCGTTTACCGCACAAAGTTGTGAGCTTATGAAAATGCAAAAATGCCGCTGTCGGACTTTTCTAGAAATGCATGAGTCGTGAATATTCGCTCAGTTCTCGTGCTCTCGCACTCTCGCACTTGCTCTCTCACACATAAATGTCAGACGCGCAGCGTTGCCAACACTCTCTGTAACAGGTCGCGCGCTGCCGGACAGTATTTTAGTAAGAAAATAGCACATATATAAATTAAGAAAATGCAGTCGGAATTGTTCAACTCTTATAGTTCTTTAAGCAATCAAACTAAATATATATGTGAATTATTTAAAATTGATTTTCCTGTCAATATTTTGTTATTAAATTTCCCTTGAAAACTAAGTTGGCAGCGCCGAACGAATTGCTTGAATTAATTTTGAAGCTGGCAGCGCTGTAGCAGAATACGACAGACGCTGCTTTTTGCGTGCGCCTGGAAAAATTTATATTACAAATTTGTCAAAATATATACAAAATACGGCATTGAAAAAATTTCGCTGCAAACGGCACGCAAGGAAGGCTAATCATTTTAAGCAGCAGCTCAATACCGTAGCAACGTGATGGCCGAATATTTGGCATCTATTTTTGGCACAGAAAAGGACAAGTAAGTAATAAAAAAGAAAAAAAAAGAACAGCGGTCCGCATGTTTTGCAGTTGTACCTTTCGTAAATTTTCCGGCACATTACTAACAAACTATTTACATATTGCAGAGTCAACTGCTCGTTTTACTTTAAAATTGGAGCGTGCCGGCATGGCGACCGCTGTTCACGCATACACAATAAGCCGACATTTTCGCAAACGGTGTTGCTGCAAAATCTCTACGTAAATCCTCAAAATTCAGCGAAATCGGCGGACGGTTCACATTTGGTAGCGAATGTGTCCGATGAGGAAATGCAGGAGCATTATGACAATTTCTTTGAGGATGTTTTTGTCGAGTGCGAGGACAAATATGGAGAAATTGAGGAGATGAACGTTTGCGATAATTTGGGTGACCATTTAGTTGGCAATGTGTACATCAAATTCCGCAATGAGGCCGACGCCGAAAAGGCGGCAAATGATTTGAACAATCGCTGGTTTGGCGGACGACCTGTTTATTCGGAATTGTCGCCGGTTACCGATTTCCGTGAGGCCTGCTGCAGACAATACGAAATGGGTGAATGCACACGTTCCGGCTTTTGCAATTTTATGCACTTGAAGCCCATATCTAGAGAGTTGCGGAGGTACCTTTATTCGCGCCGACGACGCAATCGATCGCGTTCCCGTTCCCGTTCCGGTGGACCGCGACGGCGATCACGAAGCCGGTCGCCACGCCGTCGACGCGAAGATCGTGGCATCGGCGGCGGCACTGACCGTGGCGGCGAGCGCGGCATTGTGGGCGGCACGGATCGTGGTGGCGAGCGTGGCATTGGAGGTGGCACGGATCGAGGAGATCGTAATAATGATCGTGATGGGAACGATCGCGATAGACGTAAAGGAGGAGGTCGATATTAATGGTCCAAACTCCGTTTGGACTTCGGACGGTTCTATCAACTACATTATTTGTGGCAAAGTGAGAGAGGACGGACAAAGAACGCCAACTAAAGTGTATTTCAAAGCTCTGCAGTCTCCTTTTTTGTTTTTCTATGATTTAGTAAGGGGTGTCCACCACATATGTACAAACCAACCGTGACACAATGTGAATTATTTTATCGAGCGCCCATTAGAATTGTAATTACTTATACACACATTCGTAATAATAAAATTGAGTACTAATTATAAAGATTATATAGACAAAGAATAACAAAGAGATATTGTGTGTATAAGAGAGTTGTATTTGACGCGCTTCGTATATGGATTGCTGTAACACAAGTAACGATAGATTTGAGCCTGGATCCGATGCTTCCGGCGTTTTCCTTGTTTACGTATCTAATACGCCCGGATTATTCTTCGTCTCCGTTTCTCGTGCTGCTTTTAACTGTTTGGTCATGTCGATTTGTTGCTGCAGTGCATAACGGTTCTCGTGCTTGCGTCGTTGTTGCTGCTCTACGTCACGCAGAACACCCTCATGTAGTTTGTTACTGTAAACGAATTTCGATTAATACTTAATTTCATTGAAGAATTCTTTATACTTGCCGGTCGTCCGATTGTTTATAGTGAACATAACCTATAATGGCGGTGGAAACGCAAACAGCTAAACCTAATGTCACTTTAGATGCTAACGACATCTTTTCTGATTGATTATCTAATTTTTGGCTATTTAATTTGTATATGAATTTAATTTAATACGTCGAATTAGTTGTTACGACATGACTTTCTGATGTATTTTAACTTCTCGACAAATACAGAGAAATGGAGAAAAGCAGACAGATTTATATATTGTAAGTGACGTGCTTGAAACACTCTAATTATATGAGTACTTTGCGGGTTATTTATATAAATACTATGTTTTTGTTTCCATTAACAAATATGAGTTAATTCAGTAAATGATAAAATTCTGCTCAAAATGGTCGATAGACATAACAAATGACTAGGGCTGCAGCATGAAACAGCTGGTTTGATAACAACATGCGATAGCGAAATTGCAAAAGGCGCGCATTTGCTTATCGATTCAAATATGTATGTTTGCACAAGCCGTTATCTGCGGGACAAAATGTTGTTTTTCGCAGTATTGCGTATGGTTTAGGTTGTTTAGTCTATACATGGCTACCACATAATTGTTATGTTTGGTCAAACAAATGCTGAGCGACTGCGGGTAACACAACTGAAATATGTAAAATTTTTGGACATGCGCATCAGCTGCACGCAATGCGAAGCAACAGTACAAGTACTAATGTGTGTGGGTGTGCGTGTGTGTGGACGCAAGTAAAAGCAACATCGAGCCAATGCGGCGAATGAGCAACATTTTCATACAATCTGCCAGTACGACTCCAGTTTTCCATACGCGCAGTTCTTTGCGCGTAACAAATAAACTAGAAACCAGCCAAAATAAAAAATTAAACAAGCCAAAAAAACTAGAATAAAAGTGAACTATATAGAAATTCCAAATTTACGTGAGTGTCTTTCGTGTGCGCTAAAAAAAAAAAATTTGTTTCTAAGTTCAAACAATTGAAGCAATCAACAACTAGCCATAAAATCCATTAACTTATTAACATATGTAAAAATTATAAACATCGCCAAGCGAATTCTCATCAATTTATGTGGCTTGCTAAGCAATTGTTTATGCATTTTGAAATTTCAGTTTTTCAGGTTTATTTTTGCCGTTAGGTCAGTTGGAACTTGTTTTATGTGTTATTCTCATTGTCCATTTTAAAATATTAATGTCAAATATTGATTTCAAATTTTTATGCAGCCAAGCTTTAAGAAGCCTAATGCTTAGACGCTTAGCATTTACGACACCTTTGAGCACCTTTGCTTTATTTGCTTCGTTTTTTTTTTTGTGGTTCGCAAACATTTGTACCCATGGGAAATTCTTGCAGAGGGTATAATGCTTCGAATAAAATGCCTGTGAAAAACAGCAAAACTTAGGAGGAATCATGAAGCTTATATATTCCTAATATGCTTGTCCTTGAGGCTCTTTACTAAAGCGTGTAAAAATGTTACTGGGAAGATTTAACCTTGGAACTGTTATTCAAATCATATGAAACTTCATTCAGTATACCATGTTTCGATCATTTTTTCTTCCTTGAGGACTAAGAATCCCACAAACCTCTATGTAAATTCAACATATGCTTAAATGTAAATCGCATGGGCACAGCGTAGTTCGTAGTCCCGACTAAAATTTGCTTACACTTTGTATCCTCAGTTTTTATCCAAGCCACAAAAATTGAAATGTTTGCTGGATATTTAGCCAAAAGCAACTAGACCTTTGTTGAAGTAAAGTTAAATAAAATTCTGTATATACTAGATATATTCAGAGCTATACAAGATGACCAAAGTGGAGCTCTATAAATCGCGTGTCTTTGTGACAATCATTCACCTGTGCGCGCTGGGACAATTCGCTTATGGACTGTATTTCAGTAGCTTTGAGGTGCAGCGCAGCTACAAATTGAAGACGAGCTTCAGTCGTCGCCTGGTGCCCGAAACTTTTCCACAGAAATTACGATTTCTCAGCTATTGGTCGCTGGTAAGTTAAAGAATACAAGATGATGATATATAATATCAAATATATATAAATCGTGGTCATTATGAAATGACGGAAATACGACGACCGCAGCCACAATTCGTTTCAAGTGTGTTCCAGCTCAATGATACAGAAACAAGTAGAGCTGCAGGAACAGAGAATATACGACTTGAATATGCCCTATTTCTAGGTACTGTGATTAAATTGGTCTACTCCAAAGTATACTTCTTTCAGCCAATGGTGTCCTATTAAAATCGAATCGCTTGTTTGCCCTCTCAAATTCGATATTTATATATGCATATAATATGCAATATGAAGTCGGTTGTCGCCTTTAATGATCGACATATATGTATAACAAAGAAAGAACGAAAATTTATGTTAGCCCATGGTCCGATTGCCCTTGTTCCGCTTTCATAAATGCTTACAGGGTATAATCAGATTTTTATTATTGTCTCCCATTTATGTCTGCCATATGTTTGTTTATTTGCCTGCTGTTTCGATTTTCGTTTTGCTTTTTTCCCTGTGTGTTCTCTTAATCACCTCTCGCGCTGAGGGGTCAACAACTGGCTGCAATTTGTAAGCGGGCAGTTGGCGTATCTTGCAGATACATTTTCCATGCACACGTCTTACAGATACATTTTAAATGCCATTCATTCCATTATCCAGCCATTCAGTTGTTGTCGCTACAAAGTGTTACACACACACACACTCGCAAAGAATTTGCAATATTTATTTTCATTGTGCGAAATTTCCGTAGAGTGAAAAAGATTTTTTTTTTTTTAATTTTCATTTTTATTGAATTGTAAAGCTGGCCACAAATCAAATTGGTCCAAAAACAAAAGGCCCCCAGCATCTTCGTGACCGATTTTATTGGCGTTGATAGATGCCAGATTATCTGGCAGCCCCACTGCGCTGTGGGAGGCGGCTGGAGCATGTTGGCCCCGAGTAACTCAATTACATGTCGTAAAACAGTTTGGGCATTCGATTCGATCATCGATTTGAATTTTCGCAGATCATTTGATAATATCTATTAGACATATTTCATTATGGTTTTTGTTTACGTCTGTAATTGATGGCTTTCCCCGGATTGACTATTACATTTACTATCGAGTTGGGTATTAGAATTTTATGAGTAAGTAAATCTAATTATACAGCAGCAATTTTTTGTGACACTTATGGTTTGTTTGATTGATCACTGATCATACAAGGCAACTTGACTGATGGATTCATTCCTGATTGACTAGCTCATTCAGTCAATAGGCCCATCTTTACTGAAAAATATATATACTCAATTAGTAGCCAATCACCTCTTTGTTCTGAATTTTCTTTCACAACATCTCTTTGCGACTTAGTTCTTCCAAGCAAACATCTTTTACACTACTTAAGTTCAAGGATTTCCCAAACAAAGAAACTTTTCTTGAGTTTTTTCGGGCTTATCTTTAATTTTGTTCGACCTTGCTCGCCCTTGATTTACAATCTCAATAAATTCTTTGATCTTCAACACAAAAAAGCAAACGGGAAAAAGTGCTTTCCATCTACTCGCAGATATCTCTGCACGTGGATTCGGATACGGATTCGGACTCGGATTTTGTTTGTTTGCTATTTGTTTCGTCGTGTTTTTTTTAGCGAATGGCTTTCATGTGGAACCCGTGGCACATCGCATTGCCGGGTCATGCACACGCACGATTACCATCCGGTTTTAATTTTTGCTATTCCTCTATTGTTTTGGCATACCTTCCTCTCCTTTACTTCGATTGTTTATATCAAAATGAAAATAAACGCTATTCTTCTAGCACGGAATGAATGTGTAGCAGAGCAGCTATACTATTATATAGTGTATATGTATATATGTATTATATTGGTATATATATGTATTGAAAATGTGCAATGGCCACACGTTCGTCTCATTCTTTGAACAATTTATTACTTGAACAAATTTATTGAAAATCATCTAAATATTAAAAATAGAAACAAAATTTAGTCGATGATTTTTTGAACTACCATAATTGGGATATTAAATATATTCTAATTGCATATGGAATGAAGATTGATCTCTTTCTCTGTCTTTCTTTCTCTCCCTCTCTCTATGTGACTCTCTATTACGGCTAGTCTATTTATCTATATTCTCAGTTGGAAATCAAATAGTCAAAATGTTTAGAAATTCTTCAATGTCCAAAATTTTGCAGTTCATTTTCGCCTGGAATTGAAAAATGTGAAATTGAAATTTTGTTTAGGTTTTCATAGCTTTGTGTCTAATTTAATGTGTAGCAAGACTAATAAATTGACTGATTGACTGCTTGAATGACAAACTGCCTAATTGATAACACTGGTTAACAGCATTCAATCGAACACGAAAGCATGAGATTTGGAGTGCAAGATAATTACCTAGATTACCTAAATATATCAAATAGTACATATTAGATTTCGTAATTATCATTATTCGATATTAGAATTGGGGATATTAAGAGTTTCTGGAATATCTACAATATATATTAGTGTTATCAAATTCCCATCAAATTTTGTTGGCCAGTGTAAATGGCTGTTGAGGATTGTGTTGAATCTGAGGTAACGCCCCCAAAACTAATGACAGCTCTGTCATAGCATCAGCGCTTATTCTCGGTCTTCAGTCTACAATTTGCTGAGCAGTCAAAATGATGGAATGGATCTCTGTAGCGCTGTTCGCTTTGCTCGCTCTGGAGGCGGAGACGACCAACATCAAGTGGCATAGTGCTGGGGCAGCATTCGATAATGCCAATGCCTGGCTGGATGGTTACTTGCCCTGTGCTCAGGACAAGGTGGTCTTTCCCAGCTATTATCCGGCTGTGCTGCCATTGCCCAAGGAGTTGGCAGTGGGCGGATTCGTACTGCCCCGTCTGGGTGGCTTGCTGCTGGCAGAGGATGCCACCGTACAACTCGGCGTGGGTTCGGGATTGAATAGAGAATGTGACAGTGATGAGAAGCGCGCCTACTTAAAGCCAGCCAAGACGAGCAAATGGTTTGATCCCAGCAGCTGGAGTGACCAGCCCAGCAGCGCCTCCCCCTCCAGCTCAGCCATCGATAGCTACTTCGATCTGGATCGCGTGCCCTGCGATGATGAGCATGTGGTGATCAGTGGCAATAGCGGTCCGCTCTCGTTTGACTTGGAGAATGTGGAGTATCTTCGCTTGGGTCAGCTCATCCTAGCGGGCTCCTCCATATCACGCAACTATCTGCAGGAGCTGCTGAGCAGAGATCTGGGCCAATTGCTCTTCCATAATGCCCAGAATGTGTTTGTGGAGTACTACAGAGGTGAGCTATGTGGCTGCCACATAGACTATGAGAACTTGCTGGAACTGGTCTGCTCCCATGTGGAGCCACAGTGCGAAGTGCCCCATTGCGTCTCCCCATTGCGCACAAATGACGGCTGCTGCTTGGTCTGTGGCGCCATGATGCATGTGAATAGCGAGCACTGCGTAGAGGAGGATCGCAAGACCTTGACTGGTCTTATCAATAGTTTTATGGTCAAGGAGCGGCTGCAGGACGAGCTGCAGTTGCACGTGAACTTTGTGGGCTCGAGAGCATATGGCAATGCTTTGCAGGCGATTGTTGTGGATCGAAATGGCTATAGCGAGCGTAGCGTGGAGTTTATGAGACGTTTCGCTGCGCAACGGAATCAGAGCAAATTTCTGGCTCAGCAGAAAAATTTGAAAATCTTCTATGCGGGCCATCCATATAATCCCAATGTGAGCTTTGCCTCGGTGCTGCTCATACTCTTCTGTATTGTGCTTGTGGGCGTTGTCTCGTTGATTGGCCTCGCCCACTTCATGCCACAGAATCCGTATCTCAATCGCATACCACAATGGATACACAATCCCCGGCGTTGGCGTTGGCATCACTTGGGATTGCGTTTGCCGCAGCATTTGCTCTTCAATCGATTTGATAATGTGACAGCTGGAATGGGATCGGGAGGAGCAGGTGGTAGTGCAGTGGAACGCCTGGCTGTCATTGGCTATGATGCAGAGAATGAAGAGGTGCGTGAACGTGCCTTTGATAATCCCATGTTCGAGCAAGCCGAGCAGGTGGCAGTCCTAGAAGAGCAGCCGGAAACAACTGCAATGACAGCCAAGGTTGAAACTGGAGAACTGGACAGCTGCAGCGTAGAGGAGCAGGAGCTGACTGAAATCAATTTGGAGTCCTCTGGCGGGGAAAGTGAGATCGAGGAGGAGACCAAGGAATGAATGACTTCCCATAAAAAATATTAATTTTAATATAATATGTCTACTCCTAATTGATCAAAGCTACCATCTGAAATACAAAAATGTATTTCAATTCCTCCCTACACAATATTCACTGAAATTTCTGTTAAGCTTAATTATGCTCACGATGCTCACATAAATTTAAATATACATAAATCGATAGCTTATCTAAATAATGGATAACGATTAAATAAACATACATGCTAGTGGTGCGTCACATCGCTTGGGTTTGTCCCTTGACCTTCACGCGGCTTTCAAACGAGCTCGGAATTCAATCGATAGTTCGCATTAGTTGCGACAACCTCAATAGCTTTTGTTCAACTAGACATATCTATATATAGCATATCCCGCCCCACTTGTCAACATGAAAGACAGTTAAAGTGGTCGCACTAATGCTGAAGAGGTGAAAGTAAATTTAATTTTCACTCAAATTCTGCTTCAGTATAAATTTACTCTCTGAATACGATTTTGTTTTTATTCCCGTACTGATAAGCGACGTTATCAGCGGGTCGTTCATATGCACATGGTGTATGTACATAAGTATATATAAAATATATTCTTAGATTGGAGCTTGCATTTGCCAGCTACAGCCGGCTAATCAGTATAAAGTTGACTTTTGAGTGTTAAGCATGGCAAGATCCAAACCCAAAAATAAGGGCTCCACGTCTCCAGGTTTCAATCGGGCTGTACAATTACTTTTACACACTACGGCTGTCATACAATTTAACTATGGCGTCTACTATTTCTACAATTTGGAAATGCCAAGATCAGTTTTTCACCCATACGCTGGCAAATTTAAATTCTTGACCTTTATCTGTGCGGTGAGTGCAATTGCAGCCCTGGTTTGGGGGGTGTTGCTAACTAACAGCTTTGCTGTTAGAGTGCAGTCTGTTAACTTACAGAATGGGCTTATATGTAACGGCTTTTATGTTCTGTAAGTCACCTACTAATATATAAGTATAGGCGTACCTAACTGATATGAAAGTTTACATATAAAGCTGATTAGCTGCATCTACAATAATAAGATTCAATTACAGTTTTATGCTAACGTATTACTATTGCCTCACTGATAAGGCACTTTATCAGTCACCCAAATAACACGAATTAATATTTAATGTCTGTGTTAAAAAAAATAAATAAATAAAAAAAATGAACATGTATGTATATGTAAATATTGATTGTCGCTGGTTTTTCACCTGCCAACAAATCAGTAGATTGTGAACTTTTGTGTGTTAAGCATGGCAAGATCCAAGTCCAAGAAAGAGCGTTCCGCGTTCCTAGTTTTTTATCGTCTATTGCAATTTCTTTTACATTTAACAGCTGTCATTCAAATAAACTATGCCATTTATTATTTGCATACCTTAGACTTGCCAAATTCTATTCCGTTCGGTGGGCAGTTTAAATTCTTAACATTTCTCTGTGCGGTAAGTGCAAGTGCTGATATTAGCGATATCTACAGGTTAGTTCAAGAGATAGGTAATTTAGCTCTAAAATTGCAGTCTGTAAATTTTGAAGAAAACTCTGTAAAATATTAAAAAAAAATATTTGTTTCAATTCTAATCACAACAGCTTAGTCACCATGACATAAAAGCTTTCACCTATTGCAACTTGATAACAATTTAATAATGATTTGTGTTCTCAGCATAGATAACACATAAAAGCAATAGGTAATTTTTATTATTTAATTGATAATAAGTACATAATTTTAGCTATCATTAAATTATTAGCATGATTCTTCATCATTAATTTACTTGAAGTACCGAGTAGCACATTTCATCACTTTATCGTAAGTTTATTTCAATAAAAAGCGCCAACGACTACAAAATGTGCCCAGCCAATAAAATGAGGCAAGCATCGATATACAAATCCTTGAAGAGTATCGATAATTTATCACTGTGGGTACCACGGTCACACAACAGTACAACCGTCTTCAGTATAAATTTTTTGCTCGCCGGTTGATGTTGATGCTGTTGTTGCGGTTGTGAAAAATCAATTAATTGCAATAAAGAAACATATAATTGATAAAAATGGCCACAAGCACTCCTGCAACGAGCTCGCTGTTCAAAAGTGTTTTTGGCGCGCTGCGTACATTGCTTCATTTGACAGCAGCCGTACAATTCACCTATGGCATATATTATGATTATAAATTTGTTGAATTTCCAGCCCAAACGGATCCCAATTCAAAATTAATCTATCATCCCTTTGGTGGAAAGTTCAAATATCTTACGTTTCTGAATGCGGTAAGGCACCGAAAAAATGAGTCTAACTAGCAGCTATTATAGCTCATTAGGCCAATTTGAATTTAAACATGTCATGACAACCGGTTTGAGTTCTTTTTTGTTGTTGTTAAGCTTCAGTGATTTAGCGGTTTGCAATTCATTCCACTTCAATTGTCAGCTAATCAACCCCCTTTTGAGCTATCAGAATAACATGCCTATCTCCTTCCACTTACAGATAATACAAGCCCTGTATTACATTGTCTCCCTCGTGAATGATTTTGTGGGCACAAATGAGCTGGTTCCACGGCGAGCGCCCGCTGTACGCAAGTTCAAGGATTGGCTGCTGTCTACACTGGCCTTTCCGGTCGCCCTGAATGTGGGCATAACGTTCTGGACCCTCTACGCCATCGATCGTGAATTAGTCTTTCCTAAGGTGCTGGATCCTGTGTTCCCTAGGTGAGTGAGAAATAATTGAAATTTGTTTATTTATATTAATGGATTTTATGTCATATACTTTCGCAGCTGGCTCAATCATGTATTGCATACAAATATAGTTGTCTTCATTGTCTTGGAGATGTTTACATCATATCGTGCTTATCCAACACGCAGCAAGGGACTGACTGGTCTCGCCATCTTTATGGGCAGCTATCTAGTCTGGATACACATTATCAAACACTACTCCAATGTCTGGGTATATCCTGTTTTGGAGGTCTTGCAGCTGCCACAGCGTATTCTATTCTTCGCCGCTGTGTTGGGTTTCACCTTTGCTCTCTATTTGCTCGGAGAGTTCATCAACAACGTTGTTTGGGCCAAGGAAGTCAAACTATCGCTGCGCAAATCCAAGTAGGCTGTGTATGTCTAACAGAATCCCCTCAAGTAGTCAATAAAATCAATAAAAATAATGAATTTTACACCAAAAACTTAATTGAATTGCTGATATTTAATACTACACGTAAACTCTTTAGTAAATTGACTAAATAGCGTTTCAAGTATTAGATTGCACATTTGCCAATTGCAAGTTCGAGTATGCGTTGTTTATATTAGATGAGCATCATTAATTTATCAATTGCCTAATAATTCATATCAAATGCAAATGAAGCACTGCAAAATAAATAACTTAAAACTTACCTGCGTTAAATTGTAAATTTTAATTCTAGTATCACTCTAAATAAAAACAATTGAACTTAATTTTGTAAAACTATATTTTTTCATACATTCAAATATTGGCGCCATAAATGTCAGTTGAAATTAGAGTAAATCAATTACGAAAGTGCAACGCAATTGTTGTTGGATGCTGCGTGGGTGATCCGCCACACCCAACAAAAATAAGCTTATAATGTAGCCCTGGTATGTGACGAGCAGCTGTTCGCCAACTCCGCCTCTGTTATGATCGCTACTCGACAATTACATGAGTAACATATGCAGGTGTGTGCGTATGCGTGTGTTTACTGGAATACAAATAACCTGCTGTTAGTCTTCCAGTTGAAATTTACAGCTTCCAAAAAACTCTTTGCAATGTCTTCTTCCGCAGCGGATGTGCCTTTAATTCTCAACCAAGTGTAACTTTTCTCAAAAATCGTTCTGGTCGTGGTCACAGGTAATTTCTCACCTGTAACAAAACTGACCCTCGGCTGGTTTAAGCTACCTGCTGTGCGAGTTTCAACTCAAGCAACTTAAGGCTATTAACTGTGATTTCTATGTACATATGCTAAATTTTCTAAGTCTGCTCAATTTTTTTTTTTTAGTTTGCGTGACTGTTTACAGTTTCGTATTCTATTTATATAACCCTGCGGGATGTATTCTATCTATGTACATATGTATGCATATATATGGATGTACATATGTACATATGCCTATGTATATAAATAATAAATATCCAAACTTTACAGAGTAAAGAAACAAAAACAATAGAGTTTCATTTGGTTTTTGTTTATTATTTTTAAATATATAGTTTGAATTATTATTGTTATATTATTATTCTGGGCACAGTTTTCGTTATCCATATAATATCGATGGTTATGTGAGCTAGGCTGAATTAATTGACGCTCGGGCTAGTCGAAAATGTAATACTCTACACATACACCAATTTAGGTTAAATTTTAGTTCGTAGTAACTTCCATTCTTAAAAAAATTAACAAATTTATTAGCTATTAAAAAATTATTTTAAAATATTAATAATATTTCTTTTTTTTAATGGTTAATATATTAATCTTGTGCAATATTTATAGCAAAAATAAAATTCAATTCAATTAATGCCTTAAAATATCTTTCAGTAAAAAATTTATTTAACAATATTCCAAGTTTCACTAATGAAATATTTTAGTAAGCTTAATTGATTTAGCTCATAGACAAAGTAGATTAATTTGAAGTCTTGTCTTGCCCTATTCACTTTTCCAAGCTTCAAAGTTCGCAATTTAATTAATATTAAATTTATTTCTAGATACAAGAAAATAGATGCATAGAAATTCTAATTGCAGTCACTGTCCCAGGTCGAAGTAAGCCTCTTTGCAGCTATAATATAAGTCAAACGAAAATAAAACATGTATTTGGATTTAAAATCGTTTTATTAGTTACAAATGCTTAAAAATAAACGTTTGTTTAGGCACTTTGTAATACAATTTCGTTCGTTTTCGATGTGTGCGTTGTCCCAAAAGGGGCGACAGTTTGTACATTTAAAACAACATACATTTAAATATAGATATATATAAAAAACTATATAAAACTATAAACTAATTTAAGGAAACAGTCATTATACATTGATAC